GCACACATAAATAGCATTTTAAAATATTGATCTATACTATTTATCACGCCGGGTACTTGAGTCAGCACTTTACGGTATTTATATTTTTTTGTATATAAACTTTTTAAAAATAAAATTAAAAAGACTTCCAGATCATTAAAACTTTATGTAACGAGAACCAAAAAACTAACTTTGCATGATCTAATATTAATAAAGTTACTATACAATATACTATAATATAATAACAATAACCATCATCATAATAATGACAAAAATAAAATCGAATTTATAAAAATTTTATATTAAAACCAATGTGTAATCTCCATATAAATATATTGTTCGAAGCTCTATTATAAAAAGTACCGTAAACTGCCGTATACAAGGCCCGGGTCTGTTTCATTTTACCAATTTTAAAACGGCCCGCGGGTCTCTTGTATGGGTATAAGTCTAATAATTTGGGTTGATGATACTGTAGCCGAATTACTGATTATTAGTATTTGTGTGCCCGGATTTTTTGCATTTTATCAAAAATTTATTCCATGTTATAGACCCGAGTATAGTATAATAGAGGATCTGATATCTGGGGGGATCTTGTATACGGCAGTTTATGATGTTATTACGTTTCCTATTTAAAAGATAAAATTCCAGGTTCGTAATTTTTCTAACATCTAACTCCTAAAGATTTTAAATTATAAACCAAAAATGGTACCATTACTGTATCGGAAAAAATTTTTAAACCAAATCTTTACTTCACGCTCAGTAATTGTTAGACGAATGCGTATTTTTATGTATTTTCAATCATTTGATGTATCTTAACGTCAGATAACGACAAAATATTCGTGAAATCGTCAGACGATAAAAAATACGTAATATAGATAGATATATGTGGTAAGTATTAATAATTACGTAATTAAAACAACCTTATTATTGAGATCGCCAACAAAACATCCTCAATAAAGAAATAGATGAGTACGTACGTATAAATTTGACTTGACGGACTTGTCCTCCGCATTGGTTCCGTTGGTGAAGTTTTAACCTTTACCAATTCCAATATCTATTGACAATTGATATTGATTATTGAGATTAACAAAATAATTTGACATTTCGATCAAAATTACAAAAAAAAAATGTCTTCTAATCAACATGATAATGATGCTATCCTGGCTCAATTACTTTCTTTCGGGTTTGACGAATCGATATGTCAAAGGGCAATAACATGCAATAAAACTGTGGAAGAGGCTACTGAATGGTTTGTCTCTATTTAATCTGCAACTTATCCAATGATAAAATTGATATAATATCCTATCATATAATTCAGGATTTTGAATACTCTGGATGAAAATTCTGGTAGCAGAACATCTTCAAATAATACTTTGGTACTGCGCCCACCTGAATCTTACGAGAGAGCTTCTGCGCCAATGATGATTGATGCAGAACAGTCATCATCAGCCTCTGTGGGTAAATTTTATAACTTTAATTCGTTTTGGATTAAATTTTTAAATGACCAGTTATTATTTTTAATCGTCAGTCTAGTTCCACTTCAAACCCAACGGTCATATCACGTTATTCAACGCCAGAAGATGATTCTGAGTATACTGAAAAGTCAAAAGCAAAAGCTGCAAAGGTTGCAGAGGAATTGAAGAGATCAAAACTTTTGGAAAAAGAGGCTCGTAAGAAAACTTTATTAGCAATTAAGGAGGACCGTGAGAATTTGAAACTGCGCAGATTAAATCCTAAAACAGATGGTGGTAGCCCCGCAAGTTCATCCATTTCTACTCCTCCACAAAAGATCGAACAATCAGATTCAACTCTTATTCAGATCCGTTTATCAACTGGTCAGGCAATACGTCAAAAATTTCTTAATACTGCTTTAGTATCTGACCTCTTCAGTTGGGTTATTAGTAAGAATGAACCAAGCAAAAAGTTTCAATTGGTGCTACCCTTTCCACGAAAGGTGTTTGGTGACGATGAGATGGATTCAACACTTACCGATGCTGGTTTAGTTCCAAACGCTTCACTAAACGTAGTAAAGTTAGATATGCCTTCTGTTGACACGCAAGCTCCTATAAACAGTATTCCGAGTTCTATCACTTCGAATATTGGATCAGATGATTCAAATAATAATGGAAGTAGTGGCAGCAACACAGGCCAATTGTTACCAAATGTTCCTAATCTGCAGCAAATACTTCCCCCCAATTTACCGCAGCAGCTACCTCCAAGACCAGGAGGACCCCCTCCAAATTTACCGCAGCAGTTACCTCCTCCAGTACCTATGCAACCAGGACTCCCTCCAAATTTACCACAGCAATTACCTCCTCCAATACCTGTACAACCAGGAATTCCTATGGCTGTCCAACCAGGAATTCCTCCTCGAATACCCGGCCGACTTCCTCAAAACCCGATACCACCTTTATTACCCCACCCACTTGTCAGATCGCAACCATTTTCTGGCACAGGTTTTCGCTTAAACAGTCAACCTAATCAACTACCAATTTTACAGCAGGACTCTGATGATGATGCCGATGGTAAATATATATATAGTTGAATTAAATGTAAATTAGTTTGAAAGTTATGAATGCTTACTAAATTATATTTATCATCACAGATGAAGAAAAAAGGAAACGCATTGCTGAAGCTGTACAGGCACGGATACGTGCAGAGGATTCTGCTTCGACTGATGATTCGCAGCATACAAAACATGGTATCAGACGTGAAGTTGGCTCTTTAAAGTCAAAATGCGCATATTGTATTGCGGGTAATTTCATCAATTAATTTATTGAATTTTAAATATTTCAATTAAATATATTAATTATTAATAAATTTAATTATAGTTCTCCTCACAACATCTACTTCAATGAAAACTTTACGATTTCTTAGTAGATTGTCTTCTGATATTTGTGAATTATTAGTTGATGAGTTGATAAAACTTGACAAGTAAAATCTTTTTTGATAAATTCCAATAAGTTTATTATCTGTATTTATACATAAAGACTAAACATTATAAACTATA